AAATATTTCATGTACTGCCATTTTTGATACAGTGCATGAAAGCACGTTCGACAACCTTTCTTGCCGGCGATTGGCTTGTTGGACTCACCTCTCCTCTCCTCCTTGTTTTGGATATGCCTTCCTTTCTTCATTTTGGTCTTTCCTCCTCCTCGAATTAGGGTGTTTGCTACTATTTACACTATTATTGTGCACTTGGTTCTCCTCGGCCCATAGCATCTTCTGACTCTTCAAAGGTTGAGCCTACTACTTTTACCAATCACGTCACTGCTCCACTCTTTGCAGAGTTGTTGAATGTTAAGAATTATACCTCTTGGACTTCTGACATTTGTCTTTGGCTTGTAGACAAAATTATGAGAAACACCTCATTTAAAAGGCAGGCGAGCTTGATCACACCATTGACAAGTGTTATGCTTTACATGGACACCTTCCTTACAGTGCTCATGTTGTTTAGAGTACTGTGCCAGTTTCCACTTATGCTCTCTTGCCTACACCTCATAGGCACCACATCCCAGCTACAATGATTTTCTGAGGTGGTATAAGGAACTATTAGGCTTTTGGTTTCACTGATCCTACTGCACACACTGGTAATTCTTATGCTGACATCTCTCATTCTTGTTCTCTTGGTCCCTGGGTACTTGATTCAAGGGTCACCAATCATATAACTTGTAATCAATCATTTTTCTTTACCCTTTCTACTTCTAAATATTTACCTTATGTCACTATGACTAATGATTCTCAAACCTAATATGAAGGCATTGATACTGTTCATTCTTCTTTCTTTCTTTTCTGTTGATAATGTCCTTTACATTCTTGGATCCTTTTAACTTGTTTTCCATAAGTTGTTTCACCCAGTTTCTTAATTGCACTATTTTCTTTACTATAAAAAAACTTATTTTACTGCAGGACTGGAATTTTGGATCATGTGAGTCCCATGGTCTTTCCAACTACTTAAACCATGTCATGTTAGTTTTGTAGTGGACTTTCCTCTTTTGATTCATGCTCAGATAAGATATCTAAAACTTACCAAGTTGCAAAAGATGGTGCCAAGTCTATTAATTGTTGTCATTGTCTTGTGAGTCACATTTATTAGGTAAACACGTTTGTACTTTCTTTTTGTCATTCTAATAATAGGATTTTTTTTTTTCCTTTTGTTTTAGTTCACTTTGGTATTTGGCATCTTAGTTGTATTATGTTTACAATAGGATTTAAATACCTTGTTACCTATATTGATGGATTTTTTTATTTTTTCTCCTTTTGTTTTAGTTCACTTTGGTATTTGGAGTCTTAGTTGTATTATGTTTACAACAGGATTTAAATACCTTGTTACCTATATTGATGATTTTTTTATGTACTTAGTTGATCTAAGTTGTTTTTTGTCTTATAATTTTTTTATAAATGAAATAAATATTTGAAATTCTAATTTGTAGGTTACAAAGTGACAATGCACATGAATACTGTTGATATGTAAATATAGTAATCAGGCATGATTGATGTGTAATTATAGTAATTAAGCTAGTAAAATAGTGTAATTAAAGCATGATATCAGGATTACCTTTATTAAGATAATAATCTGTAATTAATATATATTTTCTTATACATGTATAAATTCAGACCCTTGGGTCACATGCAATACACAGAAAAACACATTCAAGTATCAGATTTTGTAAATACTTATCTACACATTCTCAAACCTTTTTGGCCTTTCATGGAAATTTTCATCAAACCTCATGTCGTCATACTCTTCAACAAAATGGGATAGCATGGCGTAAAAATTGTCATTTAATTGAAATTACTTGGATTTTTCTCATTCACTCACATGTTCATCATTCAAGAGTGATATTATTCTTATTGTCTGCCATCTTATCAATAGGAATAGGAAGTCATCTAATGTATTTAAGAGTCAGCCTCCTCACCAAATTCTCTATACTCATCACTCTCTTTGCTTTATTCCTCCTTGAGTGTTTAGGTCTACATGTTTTGTTCATAATCTCACTCTATAGTCATTCTCTCAATTGTACGAGTGTTACTCTCCCATTCTTTGTTGATATATTATCTCCTTTGATGCTATGTTTTTTCAATTAGAAACTTTCTTTTTATCTAAATCTTCAACTTAATTCGTTTTCTTTCTCCTAAGAACTTTATCTCCCCTTTTCCCTTCGTGACAATGGAATTTACTGGCAGAATAATTGGTAAGCAAATCTGCATGTAGAGGTAATGTGTTCTTGTCCTGTACCAAAAGATGTCAAAGGCGTAAGAGGGTTTCAGAGGTCTTACTGTCTATTATTTTAGATTTTGTAAAGAATTATGCAAAAATAGCCAAACGTCTAACTCAACTACCATGGAAAGACAATATTAGCTGGGGAAAGGAAGCACTTCAGGCTTTTGAGTAATTAAGAACAGCCATGTCTCCTTTACCTACACTGGCTGTACCAGATTTTTCAAAGCTCTTTGTAATTGAAACAGATGCTTCAAGTAAAAGAATAGAGGCTCTTTTATCTCAACAGGGCAAGCCAATAGCATTTTTCAGCCAAGACTTTTCAGAACATGCACAACAAAAGTCGGTTTATGAACAAGAATTGATGGCAGTGGTGCTTTCAGTGTAGAAGTGGCATCACTACTTGATGGGCACGCGACTTACCATAGTAACAGATCAAAGAAGCTTGCAATTTTTCACTGTGCCAAGGCTGCCGAGTGTCGTGGGATGTTCGAATCCATTAGCAAGGTATGGGACTTGAGTACCCCATTGGAAGTGTGGGATTCTAATGTGGGATTTATAAGGTTTTGGGCACTCCAACTGCAATAGCTACCTTTTGTGGGTGGTTCTCCCAAGGTTCTTATCAATTGGTATCAAATCCTTCCACCACGTCTCCCAGCTGCAAACGAGCAGCACGAGTGGTGACACCACCATTGTAGTATTTGCCCGAGACTAATCAAGGGGCTAGTGCACAGCCAGACTGCATGAGCGCTGGGGCTGCGGACCATGGTGGGATGTTAGGATCCAATTTCAAGGTTTGGAACTTGAAGCCCACATTGGAAGTATAGGATTCTAATGTGGGGTTTATAAGGCTTTGGGTTCTCCAGTTAAAATAGCTAGCTTTTGTAGTGTAGTTCTCCCAAGGTTCTTATCATATTATAAATAAAGCTCTTTGTTGCACTTGCATATCAAACACACACGAATTTCACTCTATGTCTCTCAACCTCTTCTCTCTCAAGAGATACTACCAAAAATTCTGCCATGTAGTGTAAATGATCAAAACAGATGTCCACTCTAACACATACGCTTACCTTTCCCACTTTTTGCAATAGTTCTAATTCCTTCATGAGAAACCCATTTACAATTTCATATCCATAATGTCAAATCTTTGTTAGTACAGCTATACTTAACAGGACAAAAAGTCCAAAAGTACTACTAATGTGCTACATATTTATATGCCTCATGCAGCTCTTTTGTTTTTACATGAGTATTATGTGTGAATCTAGCTCAATATGCATTTCCATATACTTTTACATTGTCAATCACTACTTCCCTCATGGAATAATCAAATTAGAGTTTTCACAAACATTGGGCATGTTACCTTGAGTTTGGAGCATTTTCTTTTGGTGAAGTTCAAAGGTTTTGGCAATAACAAGGAGTGTAAAGCTTTATGGCAGTGTGAAGTTTATGCTGCTCTTTGGTGTATATATCATTGGAGCAAAATGCTCTAGTTAGATTCTTTAGATCTATTATCTGACAAGACTGTTTATTGATGTCTTCCTTGGGTCACCCCACGCCACAGATGATTTCTTTATGGAAATATCTCTAGCAGATAGGAAAATGGATTTGCAAGCTTCTTTTGCTTGTAGTTTTCTCTCTTATTCACTATCTAATAGTGCTGAAGATATAAAACCATTCGTGTTTTGTTAGGGGCAAAGCTTTTAAAATCAGAAAAAGATGAACAAAAGACTGAATAATTCTAATAATCTTTATTAATGCCTTGAAAAGAATAAGGATTCAAGAATCCTCTAGAGCTAACAGCTCCCTAAACACTGAATAATATTTCCTCTCAGTATTTCTCTACAAACAAAAGCATAATTTCCTCCTATTCCCCCTAACTCTATTTAAAAGGTATTAACAAATAACAACTAACTAACTAACCGTTGGCTCCTTCCTTCCTTTCCTCCTAACATACACTTTCCATACTTTAGATGTCTTGTTAGTGTCAATCATTTGTTCTTCCTCTCTGGTCCTAACATATTTCTTTACGTAGCATCTTAATCTTTTAGGAGAGTTGATCCTTAGTAATGCCAATATCTTATCCTCCTCTTTAATTGTATTATTTTTCTCTTCACTCTAATATAGATATAAACCTTCACTATTATCAGTTTAAGATCTGACATCAAATTAATATAGATAAACCTTGACTAGGGTGGCTTATAATGATATTCACCTTATAAGAAGTAATAATAGAATAGTGGGAAACAGAACAATGAGCTTGTCTACTAGTTTATATTCAATATCCATGTAGCTGCTGCAATTGATTTTTTCCCAAATGATTGTCCTCATGGCTCGTATCATGCTAAAAGTATAGCATGAAATGTTGTCAAAACATTGTTTTTTTCCCCTTCATATTCAGATTTTTGTTTCAGTCAGATGGATTTTATACTTATAGTACAAACAGGCAAGGGAGAAATAGCAATTTTATCAAAATGCAAAGATGAAACCACAATGAAAGGTCCAAGCTTGAAGTTTCTTTTCCTATAAAATTTAACCAACGCACTTAAAGATTATTTGTTTCTAATGCATAAGATTAGTCTTTTTATCCAATGAAAAGAGTGGAGGATTCTCTCCTCCGCCTAAGGATGAGGTTAGAATTTTTCTACATATATGGCACTAAATGCACCAGGACAAAAGCTGATAAACAAAAGGCAACAAATAATTAGTGCAAGTGCACTATTTTAGCAGATAGAATTTTTAAATTACTTAAATTAATAAATCACATAGGATCTGAAAGATAACTCACACAAAGTCTGGTTTATCTATCCACTGAGGTAGTGATCCTGTGAGACTATTCCCACCTAAAAATCTAGTAAAACCAATATCCATAAGTCAATTCGTATAATTCAAATTAAAGATAAACCAGTAAAATTGTAAATAAACTAGTGATGTACATCCCAAATTATCTGGACTATCCTTAAGGACTTAACTGGTTAAACCACAACAATAATTTTTTAAATTCAGCGACTAAAATATTTATTTTAATTTAGCGAATAAAATAAACGAAAGAAAATAATTTAAGTCACCGATATTTCTGTCCTCTCCTCTCAACTCCCCTTCTTTTCCTATACATTTTTTTTTTCTTTATTTTGATTGTCTCTTTCCCCTCACAGAAAAGGGAAAACATAATTATCTGACAGAAAAATGTTTCTTTCAAAGGTACAAATAGGTTGTTTTGAATATTAACAAAAAAAAAAATGATGGATGTATGTGTGTATTTCAATTAAAGAAAGAATTACAGAAAAACCAATTAGCTACTGTCTTAGCTGAAAAACTGATAGGTAGTCAGCATTTTCAATGTCATAATACTGTATGCCCAATGGAAGCAGCTCGGTTATAACTTCTGCTAATTTCAAACTAAAAGTGAAGCTAACAAAATAAAACAGAATAGTAGTATACTACTATCTAGCTACTACGAAATGCATGAGTTTATTTTGGTGTAATTGTCAAGGAAACATTAGAAAATTTCTTACAGCATATTCATGTTTTGTAGACCATCAAAACTGCTCGGAATTGGTCCAGTTAATTTGTTGTAGCTAAGATCTCTGAAAATGAAATCATAGTTAGAATATGTTCTTTTCTAAGAAGAAAGTTAAATGGAACATTAAACATAGCTCCTATAACTCATTTAAATGAAACAAGCATGTCGAATTTCTTCATCAGATCCATTAGAGAAATATGCAAGAATTATACAAGTTTCAATTGAAAACTGCAATAAAATCAAGAGTTATCATCATCAACAAAAAAATAAGAAAAGAAAAATAGCACTTACAATACTTGCAAAGTAGTCAGTTTTCCAAGAGATTCAGGCAAGGCTCCAATAATATTGCAACTCCTCAACATTCTGGCAACCAGTCAGACAATATATATAATGATAGCAACAAGACATGAGCTTAACAATAGCATCTCTTTATTTTCTATCCCTATAACATTTCCTGATTAAGACATTAACTTGAAATAATCATAATCAGATCGTCTGACTCACAGTGTTTTCAAATTTGTCATGTTATCAAGTTGTGGAAAAGGTGAATCAGATCCATTCAAGTCAGTAATTCTCCTGCATAACATATTTTACGACTTTATTTGCACATTAAGAAAGCAAGTTAATTTTGAAACTTTGGCTACATTAAAAAGAATCATACAAGTCAGTAAGGTTCTTCAAAAGTGAAATTCCAGAAGGAATTGGCCCACTCAAACCACTCCCTTGCATCACGCTGTGAAATATATAATGACAAAAATGTTTTAGATAAATTGAAAATATGTAAAGCAAAAATTTAAAACAACTAAAGCTCATTAAAAAAGGGAGAAGAAAATCACACAGTATCTCAAGATTTATCCAGCTCTGTATAAAATTGGGTATTGCTCCTGAGAATTGATTACCACCAATTCGACTGCATTGAGGAGGTTAAGCCACAAATAGAAGTTAATAATGTTAGAAATAAAACCAATCATAGCCTTCAAGGCGTCAACTAAATGCTTATTATAGCCTCTATATCAAAATGGTCAAGAGTTAAATCCTTGTCAATCTCATTCTTCTAAATAAGGTTGAATTTCAGTATAATATAGAAAAAAGCCTATACCTTGTTAGTTTCAAATAACAATACAATCTGGCATAGTAAAAGCAAGAACCTTACACATGCTTCAATGTTGTGAGCCTAGCAAATGTTGCAGGTAACTCTCCAGTGAAATTGTTGGAGGTTAGAAGCCTAAGGAACATCAAATAATCAATTAAGACATAGAATATGCACCAAATAACCAGTACACTAAAAATAAAGTTTCAGAAATTAATATCAATCAGCCAAATTAAAAATGATAGAGAGACTATTTTGAAAAGGGCATACAGTCTTTCAATCTGGATAAGATTCCCAAGCTCTGGAGGAAGATTTCCAGATAATTGATTGAACTCCAATACCCTGTTCATTGAAATTAAGTTCCTATAAAAACTCTCTCTCTCTCTCTCTCTCACACACACACACACACACAAAAACACAAAAAACAGGACAAAATGTAACATATAAAATCAAGAAACTTACAAACTTTTGAGAGTGGTGATGTTTCCAAGCTCCTTTGGGATAGGACCCGTTAAACGGTTTCCATAAAAGGAACTTACCAAATGGAAAATTGTACAATTAGATTCATCATTTATCTCTCAGAAAATAAGTACAAGATAAAAAATAAAAATATGAAACATAAAAATGAAGCACAAACCAAAAATCATTTGTCAGTGAAGAGAAACTCTAAGCTACCTTACATCTATCCTGAAGAGAATACTAACTAAACAGTATTTATTTTCTAATATTATTGCTTGGGCCCATTAATGCCTGAGGAAGGAAAATTGACAGTGTAACCAAAGGTAGAAAGCAAGATAATTACATGTTGACAATATTTAAGGTGGCCAATTGTTTAGGAATTGTACCATTAAGGTAGTTGAGGGTGAGGTCACTGCATCAAAGAGAAAGAATTAATCAATCAAATATAAGTGCATGAAACCATATAATATGATAGTGAGATTAAGAATTTTACATCATATGACGTACATTTCTTGGAGAAAAGGCAACCGGCCAAGCTCCGTTGGGACGCTACCCGAAAGATTTTGTGCTTTTAAAACACTGCATAGTGATTATAAAACATGAAACTTGTTAATGCAGAATCACCAAAACGGGCTTTCCCTTAACTGTTTTCCAGACTACAATGTTTCCTCCTCCCTTTCTGCCTTCAAACGAAAATATTGCGAACCTAGAACTTTTATTTTTATCAGAATTATTGATAAAGTAATTTAGCAAAATGTTAGACGTTGAATAATTAAGTACACTTTAGTCTCTAACCAAAGTTTCTTGGTACAAATGCAAAGACTTGATTCCATTTAAACCTTCTAATTGATATCATGATATGAGCTCAACTATTGTCTAAAGTAAGAGATTTCTTTAAATAAGTTCATTTCATTTGACTTGAAATTAGTCAGAATACTAGGGAGTACAATCTACTGCTCTCTTTCATTTCATGATTAAACTTCTAAGATTTTGTTACTCTTGCTCTGTAAAATAACTTTAAACATATAAAAACATAAAATATATATTAAAAAAACTCATTTTCACCCTAAAGTTATAAAAATATCATAAATACTTATATTTTTATTAAATTTTACTATTAATAATTACTTAAACTCATACTCTAAAACTGATATTAATAATTAGTTTTCATCAAATTTCTTAATTATTTTACAATCATTTTATGTCAACATGCTTTTTTTGGATTGCATATTTTATTATTGTTCAATTTAGTTTATTTTTAAAAGATAATTATTATTTTTTATCATCTTTATAAAAAGTTTTTAAAAAAATAAGTAGTTGCTTTTCAAGATAAAGTTACTAAATATGTATCAAGTTTTCAATTCTTAAATCTTAATTTTAATTATTTTCATTTTAAATCTTAATTATATATACTTTAAATTTCTTTTTTTCAAATATATTCTTTTCTCCCTAAAACTCCCCCTATGGCCCGTCCAAGCCTAGGCAAAGGAGAAGAATTGTGTTAGGTATTTAATAGTTAATGTAAAACTTGTCGAAACATTTTATATGGATTAATCATGATAATATTGTATTAGGGTTAGGTTGTTATCCGAAAATAACATGATATATTATACGAATACAATGTTAAATGAGTTAAAATCATTGCATCCGCACTAAAAGTAGTTTAAATGAGCAAAAGTCCTTAGTAGTTATTTAAAAGTGATAAATAGTTGAACTTAACTTTGGATTTATTACTTGGTCCTTACAAAAGTTAAACGGATTAAATTTAGTCTTAATAAAATAGTGTTAGAATAGAGTCCTTAACTTTTTAAACCTATTAAAAAATAGTCATAGTTCTCAATTGAGTTTTATTAATTAACGAATTGGACAACAGATTACTGTCACATGATATTCTTTAAGTAAATGAAAATAAAAATTTTAAACAGTTTCTAGATCAGCTCTTAGATTCCATAACTATAATTATATTCAAATTCATTCCCTTAATTTATTATTTATTATTGTTATAACATTATAAAACTAAAATAAAATTTTTTAATATAAAAATAATTACGACAGTACAATAATTGAAACATATAATATTTTGCTCAATATTTAATACTAATAATATATTATTCAGAAATTTTAATTTAATAATAAAATACCAATTAACTTAAAATCTTAATATAATGATCAACTAAATGGTTAATCACATACATAATAATTTAAAATACATTTAACATCGATTGTTATCGTTTGCAATACCACTTCGTTGTTCATAAACAACGCAACGTTACTAATTATAGTTAAAATTTACTGAAAATTTAATCTAATATTAAAAATACAAAATTTAGGTGTACTATTAGAGGAACTATTAATGTTGCGATTGAATGAAAGTTAAAATTAAATTTTAGTAATTTGTAGCGGTCCTTGATATCGGTGTTTATAAAATTCCAACTCTAATTAAACATATAAAAAAAATGTAAATGAATGTCGTTGGCATCTAACATCTAACCGTTCACAAGAGACAGAGAGAGAGAGAGAGAGAGACTTACATGCTGACAACATGACAAACCGTGTGATTTGCAAAAGAACAATTACAAGTCACGGAATTTTCTGAACCTTGCAATTGAATAGCCGATTTCCAGTTACTCTTTCCACTACATGGATCTACGTTGAAGTCCCAATTCTTTTTCCCAATTGTTACAGCTATGTCTCTCAGACCTTGCACTGATCCCACACACCAATAATGCAAATATGAAGTAAAAAACATTAGCACTAAGCAATAATTAACTACCAGAAATAACCAAAAACCCCAAGCACGAGACCAAGCATGGATATATATGTATGTGTATTACCTTCATCTTCTGGCAAAGTAGCTCCAAATCCAAATGAAGCAAAGCAAAGAGGGAGGAAAAATAAAAGGGGAAATGGAGAGAAAGTATTACACATAATTATGGATGGTAAATTAGTAGACTCAAATTAAAGAGGATGGGAAAGTTAGAGTTGAGAGTTGAAATGAGTTATTCTGTTGTGAAGGCGAAAGCATTAGAATACAAGAAGGATAAGGCTTTGAAGAAGACTTGGTTACGCAACGCAAGGACAAAACAGGTCAATATATAATAAAGAGGAGCTGTCATCGCTGAACCGGTATATGACTAGAACGAAAGCTTTTGAATTTTCACTTCGGCAAATGCGTATAAAAAATGTTATATGCTCCGTGTATATTTTTTTGGGGTGAAATTTTAGAATTTTTGAAAGAAATAAAAATTTAAAAAAATAAAAGTAATTTTTAATATTATATATATATATATAATTTATATTAATATAAGTTTAAATATTTTTATATTTAATTTAAAATTTTTATTTAATTTATATTTAACAGTTAGTAATAAATTATAATTTATTAAATATAAATTAAATAAAAAATTTAGATTAAATATAAAAGTTATTCTATTTTATAAATAAATAAAAATAAAATTTCACAATTTATAATAATTTTATCTAACAATATAGTAAAAATATATATTAATATTTAATAATTTAAATAATAAAACTTGATGCGTGATTCATTTTTCACCTTATAAAAGTACTGGTAGTAAATATCCAGATTATTTTGGAGTCCATTCACGGTGACAGATACAGCATAAACCTATCATCATCATACAATTCAAAACTATGTACGACTTCTGGACCAAGAAAGAACAAAACAATGTACGACCTACCCCCGTTGAAAAGTCCAAGCTGTGCCCTTATTTTTCACATAAGGAAGAGAGCAAATATAAAAATAAAGAAAAAAGAAAAGATATTGCAAAGGTGGCATGAACAAGGCTTATACTTTGTTTGGCAATCATGGAAATGGAATAACTTTAAAAATGATACGCCATTTCAGTGATTTGTTTCAACTATAATCTAAATAATTATATTGGTACATAAAGCCTTCTGCATTCTTTATTTCAATATTTTTAAACATCACACACACCTCTGCCTATAAACTGAAAGCATACAATAGAGGGTAAGGGTAGTTTATACGCAGTTTGCTAGGCAAAATAGAAGGAGGTCGAGTTCAGACATTCTTAAAAGAGAAATACAAACATTAAAGTTATGTTTAGAAGGAGAGGAAAAATGAGAAAAAAAATTTTAAAAATTTAATTTTTATTTAAAAGTTACTTAATTAAAAGAAAAAAAAATTTAAAATTTTTTCAAAGCTAATTTTTAACATTTTTCTATTTTAAAAGTTTTTTCTCTCTCACACTCTCATACTCTTTCATATATAGAATTCTAACTTTTTTTAAAAAATATATATTAATTTTTTAAGTGATAATTTTTTTAAAATTATAAAAAATAAAAATTATAATTTAAAATTATTAATTTTAAAATTATTAACTTTTAGAAAAAAAAATATTTATTTTTTATAAAAATAAAAAATATAATATTATTTATATAATTAAATCTTTTATCACTCTATCTTAATATAATAATCCAAACAAGAAAGAGGTTAACTTCCATTTCTTTTCCTTCCTTTTCTCTCTTTTTGAACTCTTTCTCTCTCTTCTCCTCCAAGATGACAGACAAAGTCCAAGAGAAATAGAAAATCGCTGTTAAATTATTGCTTCTTTAGGTAAGGTTTCTCTGTCCTCTCCCCTTGAATGTTATGTTACATTTGGTTTGTCGGTGATTTATGAGATAATAGCATTCATTTTGGCTTAGATTAATCATGCTCATACCATCATTGCTTCTGATTCATTTAGAATATGATTACACTAGCATCAAACCAATTTTATAGATATGTAATTTTGAAATGCAAAAATGATATATTCGAATCACATAGATAGATAGACATTGATTAAATTCATCGCCAAATACATTCATAAAAGGCAAAGTGAAAGTGAAATAACATCATCAAATCCACAACCTGTGTCTCCATCCTTGTCACTTTCAACCACGGAAACCAGCTACGTATACCGTAGCTCACCATCAATACCATCAAACTGTTATCGGAACCATCTCATTGAAACATCACTGTCTCTAACGCCACAACCCTTGTCAAAGGTTAAGAAACGCAGCGTCTTTTGCTTTGCCTCACTTTTCCAAAAAGTTTTTCAACTTATAGCTGCAGAACATTTACAATCAATTGTCTATTTCCTTGTCACCATTGCTTAACTTCCACCCTCGAGAACATAGGTGACTTTCTACTCATCATCGAAATTCATTCCTGTAAAAAAGAAGTTCTTTACTTTTAGATCCAAAGTTATGTAACCTCCAAATCATATCCACCCTAAAATATGACAGAATTGTTACGTGGAAATGTGCAAGACCACTATTTCCTCCCGGTAACACCAAAATTTTGCTCTCAGTCGAGGTCGGTCAACTAAATAAGTTTGACTAACTATAACTTACGGCGACTTAATTAGGTACCGGTAGGATAATTAATTTGGCTAGGAGCCAAAGATGTTAAATGTCCGAAGAAATTCACCTTTGGTGAGAGACTGACACAGCTAAATAACTGTGTTATTTCAGAATTTTAGTATTATTTTAAATATAATAATTGATAGTTTGGAAATTAAAAATGAAGAAGGTTTATAGCTGTAAAAAAGGATCCACGCCTTGAGGTAAGTACTGTTCAACTCTAAAATAAAAATATAAAAATTATTAAATATAATTATTATATTATATTAATTAAATATAATAATTAGGTCCTAAATTATTTAGATCATAATATATAGGTTAGGATAGGGTTATCTATGAGTTAGCTCAGACCTTAAAATCTTATCTAAATTTCAGATTTTATCCAAATCATTCCAATCGCAAACCTTAACTTACACTACTTTCCTCCTTTTTCATGGCTTTGCACCTCATGCCTCTCTTTTTCCACTACTCCTCTCCTCTTCCACCACTCTTCTTTTATCGTTTCGCTCCTCCACTCTTCTTCCACTACTTCACTCCTCTTCCAAGGTTTTGCACCTAGCTCTACTCCTCTTCCAAGGCTTTGCACCTTGCCTTGCTTCCAAGACTGTGTCTCGTCGCTTATTAGTACCAACACTCATAGCTTCTCACGGCCAACACTCATGTTAACTCTGTTAATATTATGTAGTACTATTTAATTGTTTTATAATCTTACTTGTTGCATAAATACTGATTTGGTTGTTTCTAGTTTATTATCTTGTCCCACTATAATCTCTATTTTTTTGATTAAAATAACTTTGTCTATTCACTCTTTTATTTTCTGCTCTAATTTCTTATGTCAGATTATGATTAACTTTTCTATTACTAAAAAAATGATTAAATGTTACTCTAAAATCTCAAAATTAAGGAGAATAGTTTTCTACATGCGATGTATGAAATGAAATGCATTTATTTTGGATTTTCTGTTTTTCTAAAAGTTAAAGTTCTCCTTAGTATGGATTTTGGATACCATCCCAATGATGGAGCAGATTTGGAAGTTTATTTGCAAGAAACAATGAACAAATAAGTAGGTTTCAAGCCCATTTACCATCAAAGACAACCTAATTGTTTAAATTCTATCTTTTCTAGTATTTCATATTTTATTTGGTGTTGTTTACTATGTTTTTTCATATCACACTGTCTTTGTTTTTGTTTTCCATTACTTTGCAAATTGTCAAGTTACTTGTTTGTGAAAATTTAATACAACCTTTGTTTTAAAGTTGAATAAAACTAATTTTAATATATTTGTTTTAAATTATTAGTTGCAATTATAATATGTGATAAAATTAATCATAAATATTTATTAGGATATGTATTTTTTTTATATTAAAAAGTGTATAAAAAAATAGTGTAAACCAAACAAACACTATATAATATAAAGTAGATTTATGTTACTAAAAAGTTAAATTAAAAATATGTTCTTCAAGCAGCTTTTTTAATTTTAAATAATCATAGATTATTTCTTTTTGCAATACATAGACTTGTAATATTGTGTTATTGACTTGTTCATGGTGGTGCTATGGTTATGCTATGGAATTTTTGGCCCATGAGGCCTTAATCCTAACCCTGACCCATAGAGCTTTTGATTTATTGGGCTTTTTAGCCCATAGGGCTTTATAGCCCTAATCCACATGGGCTAGGATTAGAGCTAGGTTAGTTGGGCTTTTTGACAGTTCTAGGAAGTTTACCATCTCCTTGGAGATAGGTACAAAATTCAAACTTATGGATAGGATGACAACCACTCCTTATTTTTTTAAGGATAATAGGTTTTGAAGCTCTCTATGAACCTAAACTTGTTTTGAGACTTCATACAACAAATTTTTCACCCTCTCCAAAGGCCTAAACACGTTAGAAACATGGGAAATTAACATGAATTCAACTTAGAATTTTAGCCATTGGATATATAGATCATTCTATAGTTAGCTGAGGAGTGAGTTTCTATGTATGTTTTGTTAGAATAACATCTCTCAGATAGTATACTGGATATGCACATCATATGTTCAGTAGATATACTTGAAGCAATTTTAGTCAATGATACAGAAAGTTAAGAAAGGACGCCAGAGGTTGTCGACTAAGCAATTCATCACCAAATACACAGAGTATACTATGTCATTTTAGATTTTTTGAAGCAGTCATTTGTAGAGTGAAATAATATAATTGCTTACTAAAGATAACTTTAAAGAGTGGCTAATACATAACCATTCTCTAATATTATTTTTGGAACGTGATAATATATGAACCACTCTGTAAATTCACATTTGGAGAGTGGTTATGTGTTAATTGCTCTTAAAAATTAAAACTTTTAAGAAATCCTAGTATCTTCTAACTTATTAACGCACACAAGGATGAAGCGTCGCTCAACTAATAGTAGTGTCATAAATCTCTTTTTCTTTGTCTTCCTTTGTCTTCTTTATGCTAACAAAATTAGCCTTTTTCATGATCATAGTTACCTTTCTAACATTTTCTCTCCATTCTCTCTTTCTTTCCTTTTCTCTTTCTATTAACAGTGAAACCTGCTATTACTTTGATCTCTTTTTATTTACTAGTGTTTCGTTCATTTAAATGTGAACTATTTGGTTAACACAACATAAAAATTTTGAGT